CTGGTGGCCTCCATTACTGTGGTCGGAATGTCTGACTTAGACGATCGGGGCCCTGCGAGCAGGGCACAGGCAAGGTCGCCTCCAGGCTCCTTTTCCCTTATTTCCAGCGGCCTCGGCTGTGACTGGAGATGTGCCTTCTGAGGCTTCACTCTGGTCCTTGAGTCAGGAATCTCAACCCGGTGGGCTAGGTCTCCTCCTCCCTCTCCCAGGGGGAATTATTTCTGGCTTCTGTGCATTGAAAGGAAGCAACGCTTTGTCGCCAAACAACGTAGGAGGTGAGACTCTTTCCTTTAGCTAGGGAGGGGTGAGGGATGCTCAGGACAGCCCTCCCTAGTCTCTGGCCCGTAGCTCTCCTCCCCACTGAGCCAGGAACTGCCTCAGCATCGTTTGTGGCCAGGACGCGGCGCGGGCCCCGAGGTAGCTGACTGCTGCACACGAGGCACGTGGGTGCTCCTCGGTCTGAGTACCAGTGAGGGTGCAAGATTTAGCCCCCACCCACCAGAGGGCATGGTGCCCAGGAGACAGCAGGACCCTCGCGCCTTCCCTGCCTCTTATTTATAGCCTGGCTGTGGTAATTTGTGGCAATCACAGCATTTAATCCTGTAATCACACTGCAAGCAGGCACCCAGCCCAGCAAGGCCGGGGAGCCTGCCAGGGCTCGGGGAGGGACTTGGCGGCAGGGCAGGCGAGCATGGAGGCGGCCATGGCCCCACGACCACCTCGTCAGCTGTGGTCCTGGCTCTGTGCCCCCTGATGTACCCGGATAATGATAATGACAGTGGCTTACACATGTCACACTTACCATGTTCCACGCCCTGTATGTGTGTGAACATCTTCATCCACTCCGCCGGCCCATGACACGGCTGCTGTTATTATCCCATGTTACAGATGAGGAAACCGAGGTATGGGTCCCACACTGTGAGAGCCAAGATTTGAACTCAAGCATTCTGGCTTTAAGTCCATGGGCTTAACCATTCCCCTCCCAGCCCTGCCTGCACTCCTGGCTCCTCCTGGGTGACCTGCCCCACTCGGCTTCCCCCGATGGATGCTCATTTCCTCCTGAAGAACTGTTTTATGGGGAGAGAGGTCTTATGGGGCCGTCCTGGACTCTAACCTGCCACTGATCGATGTGTGCTCTCGTTCCTTCTGTCGCGCCCGCTGGGAACCTGCGTGGCTCATGAGGCCAGGCAGGCCCTCCATTGAGCATCACCCCCTGTGGGATGTGGGGCATGAGTCACGTTCACATGCCAGCTCCGTCATTCAGTCTTAGGAGGGACTTCAGAAAGTTTGTGGGGAAACTGGAATTAAGGTATGAGTTTAGCTTGGCGCAAACATTTTTGAAACCCATGCATAGTTTTTGTCATAATATGCATTTTCCAGGAATTTTTTGAGGACCCTCTATCTTTGTTAAGTGGTTTTGGGCTACTGCCCTTGGTCATTGGAGCCTCGGTTTGCTCATCTATAAAATGTTGCCAATAATAAGAGCGTCTCAACTGAGAGGGTACTCGTGGGACTAGGTGAGGTGATACGGGTAAAGCCGACAGTGCCTGGCCGTAATGTGAGCTCAATAAGACCGAGCCAAGACTGGAGTCCTTTATTACCTTGTCCCGACGGCAGGACCCAGGTCTCCCCTAGCCAAACTCAGGGTTAGTCTGCAGTATGCCCTAGAAATTATGCAGATGGGCCTAGCCCACTGGAAGGAGCTTTAGGGAGTGCCAAAAAGAGCCAGGCTTTGGAATAAGCTTTTCCTTCTCTTCCTAAACACCGAACCCCATCATCATTTAGGGAACGATTTCCTGTCTGTGTGGGCAGCAGCTGGGGACTCATAAAGCAGTTACCCTTAGACCAAGGCTGTGCCTGTGAGGGCAGGATATTTCAGAGATGTGCTTCCCTGCTGAGAACAGCTTCCGATGGAGAATCTTGCAGCTGCACCTTTCTCCGTTTGAGAGTGGCTGAGCTGTCGACTCAGGTGCCGGGTGGCTAGTGTGACCCGCAGCATCCCGGGAAGGACTCTGCCCGGATGTGGCTTCTGTCAGGAGCAGCAGGATTGTAGGGGGTGGGGAGCTTGGAGTGTGAAGAAGGAGAGGGTTGTCTTTGTTTAGGGCTTCTTTTTTTAAAAAAATATTTATTTACTTAATTCAATTTGTTATTATTAGCAGTTTTTATTTGACCAGACAGAGACAAAGAGAAAAAGGGAAAGTGAGAAAGTGAGCTGCCAGGTTCAGGACTCGAACTGCAGTCAGCCATGTGGGAATCCAGCACCCTCAACCACCACACCACCTGCTGGCCCCAGGGCTTCTTGTCTAAGAGACATCTGTAGGGGCAAACAAGTGTTCCACACGCTAACCCTGGGTTTTAGCCTCAAAGAGGAAATAGCGTCCTTCTCATGGAGGAGGAAGGAGTGGAGGTGAGGTCAGCCTGATGGAAGCACGCATCGTCTGGGCGGGAGGAGGCTGCTGGACCTCTTGGAGGTCTCCCTCCCTCCGGGAGTCCAATGCCATGCCATCCAGGAGTGCAGGTGTTAGACCAGGGCTGGGCTAACTGTTCTGTGAAGGGCGACATAAGCAGTATTGTAGGTTTTGCAGGCTGTAAGGTGCCGTGGCAACTGCCGAAGCCTGTCCACGGCACAAAAACAGCCACGGATAGTATGTGAATGAGTGTGCGAGTGCAGTTGTATTCCAATAAAACTTTATTTACAAACGCAAGGGGATATCAGATTGGGTCCACGGCTAGAGTTTATAGACCTCTGTGTTAGAGAACTAGAAGCTCTGGGAGAACTGGGTACCAAGAAGCTCTTCCTGGAGGAGGAGACATCGAACCCTCCACCTTCAGGTTGTTGTTGATTTCAGAGTCTGGGTGGGATGCCTCTCCCTAGCTCCAGACTGCACTTCCAGCCCACCTATATGCCGGCACACCTACGGAGAGCGAGAAGAGCCTCACTGACAGTAGCTGGCTTCACCCCAAAGCTTGCAGGTGATGCTGAGGGTCATCCCCAATGCTGGCCATGTCACTCTGAGGGTCCCCCTTTCCTTGGACTGTGGTCCCACAAGTCAAGGCCTTGCTCTATCTCTGATAGCTTCAAACAGATGTTTCGAAGCAATTTTATCCAGTTCTACTCGTCAGGGTTCTCCAGAGAGCAGAACCTGTAAGGTACATAGAGATACACAAAAAGAGACTTACTACGAGGCCGTGGCTCGTACAGTTATGGAGGCTGAGAGGGTGTGTGACCTTCCGTCTTCACCTGGAGGCCCAGGAAAGCCCATGGTGTAGTTCAATCTGAGCCCAAAGACTGGGCACTGATGGTGTAAGCTTCAGCCTGAATCTGAAGGCCTCAAAGCCAGGAACGCTGCTGTCTGAGGGCAGGAGAGAATGGATGTCCTAGCTCAAGAAGAGAGAGAGAGTGGAAGCAGCAGATGGTGTAGCATTTACATTGCTGGGTTCTCATATGGCCAACTATGGTTCGAGTCTTGGACCTGGTGGCTTGAAATTCACTCTGGGCATGTGTGTGTGTGTGCCCAAGATCCTGGGAGGAGAATGGAGG